ACCAGAAATTCTTTGAGTTATCAGAGATAAATATGCTTCCATACTGTTTCCAATAGTAGTCTTGGTTACCAGAAGAAACTTTAAGAGCATGGAAATGCTGCAGAGCTACAAATCGTAGGACACATAAAGCTAAAACTGAAGAGGAAGTAATGGAAAGGAATGATTTAGATTCCATTTTTGAATTTCTCCAAGATTAGGCTGTGACAGAAAAGAGAATAAATTTCATATCGCAAAACTAATTTTTTGAAAACAAAATTGAAATTTAAAGGTAATGGTAAATTTAACCCTCATAAAAAGTTTATGAGTAATAAACTCAAATATGGGAACACTACACAAGTTCCAAGTGCAACTGACCATTTAACTTCTCCCACAGGACAAAAAATGTATATTTTGTTCAAACTTTCACAGTTCTGAACGACTATTAAAATTAGAATGATGACACTGAAAGAGAGAGAATTTTGTAAATCTCACTGTTGTTTCTTATGTTTAAAACCAGGGCATCATGTCAGCTAGTGTAATTTGAAAATAAGGTGCTTATGTTGTGGTAAGAAACATCACATTTTGCTTTATCAAAGTGTTTTTCAAAAACCATTTTTTGATCTTCCCAAAAAAGAGACAGAGATGCCAGATAACAATTCTAAGTAAAATCAAACACTTTGCCAATGTGTTGCAATCTCCAAATGTAATGTTGCAAACATTGATGGTATTCCTTAGAAGTAAAAATGGCAAAAGGCAAGAGCAATAATTGAATCTGTGTCTCAGCATTTGTATTTACTGCAAGACACTGCTGAAGACATGGAATATCAAGCTCAAAGTTTTGAACTGATTTCTTTTTTAATATTGCATTCCGAGCAGCTAAGTAGAGACATTTATAAAAACATAAGTGTCAATTCATGCCAAATTTGAGATAATGTAAGAATAGTTTTGAGAATGTTGAGATGCTTATGTGCTTCAGCAAAATAACATGTTTAAAGAGAACTAACTACAGTGTAAATATAACTTATAAACTTCAAATGAACAAACTGTATTACAAAAATTATCTTCTGATTTGAACTTTACTGTTTGAGTAGATTATTTCTCACATTCCAGCTGCCTGTAACAAAGCAAGTTTTCCTACCTCTGGAAGTGACCTCTTCAAAAAAGTATCAATAAAGAATGAATGTGCTTGCAATGCCATACCATACACCACTTCATATAAAAGTGTTGGTACCACATCATGAAGATTTTCATCAGCCCAATAAATGCATTTCTTGGAAGTTTACACTTCCAGTTAAGGAGAAATGCATCTCATCTGCCCATAATAGCCACAGCAGCCACCTGCTATCTTAATCATATCAAATGAGAATGAAATTCGCTAAGTTACTGTTCATCATCTCCATATTGCAACATCTGCACATGCAGGAATTGATAAAGAAACACCCACAGAATAGAATGCAGGAGCTTGAGGATTGTGGTTTTTGGCATGTCCAAACCATGGGCAACACTTTTTGTAATATACAATGGACCTGCAATAATCACATTATGCACTTCTGCAACAAATGCAGTGGTCATACATGGTGGTCCAAATCACAGTCTATCACATGTACATCAAGTTTCTTCAAATTCTAACCAAACCATGTACATATTTCAAGGAACATGGGCTCGTGTTAGCTTATAACTTCGCTGATAAACTTGCACTGCTTTGGTAACATTCACCCTGTTACAAGCTTTATCGATTTACCTTGTTTTTCCCCATGTAAGTATCTATCATTCTTTACAATGCTGTTCTTTGCAAATGTTTTATGCCAGGAATTTTCATCATACATGCATCATTTTAATGCCATTTATGGTTTTTCAATACACTGATCAATTTGCTCAAAAAAAAGTGGGTATTGCTGTTAAACAATTTTGAAATGTTTTCACTGTAACCATAACCATAAGAGCTCTATCATTTTAAATCATCACAATCTCAAATGCATAGCTTCAAATAACAATATCTAAAATTTCAATTGGGTTGAGTAGATAAGCTGCTAGAAATTCATACATATATCAGGGAAGTTTTTTATGACCAACATGTAGCTTAAATATCCTCCACCTGTTATAAAACTGACTCAAAATATGTTTGCATCTTTTCAATCGATAATTCTTTTACAGTCATGAATAAGTTTAACTCTATCCAGAGTTATACATTCCCTGTAAAACTTATGAATTAGCTCAGCTCATGTATATGATTTCTGGTCAACATGACATAAATAAATCTTAGTCACTATACATAAATTTTCCCAGAGTGCAATATATACAAAAACTAATCTTGTTCTCTGAAGCAATCTGATGTAAATTTGATTACAGATGAGAATTGCTCTCAAAAACAAATCAGTTGTAGTGAATACAGATGGTATTAATATAATTCTTCGTAAATAATGAAGCAAATTTTTTCCGCTGAAATGCATCAAAGCAAAAGTTTGACGAACTGATCGTGAATAATTCGTTTAACTTTCTATGGTGTCACTGAAATGATGCAACTTTCTATGGTGCCAATTAAAAAACAACTGTGTTTATTAAAAACAAGTATGTTGCTTTTATAAATGGCATTCATGAGTTTAATTTGAATACTGATACAGCAAATATTCCACACCTGTGACAACTGGAACAGGTATCAATTCAGTTACCACGATTTATGAGACACTGCATGGAACAGAAAAATTATGACAGCAAACTTAGTACATTGCTACAGGGTTGTTGATAGACACTATTAGAATCAAAGATTTCTAAAATTGATAAAACGATGTAGTAAAATTAAAAATTTTATGTTTCCGTATGACATCAATTTATAACACTAATCATGTTACTTGTGCATTCCACCCTTATCTGTGCTTTATGAACAAAAGCATCCTCCCTTTATACAGTAAACTTTGCTGAAATCCAATAATTTGTCTAAGAGAACAAATAAGTTTACCATCCATTAAATTAAAATTTTTTATTTCAGTTTAACTACATTAAAAAAGTTTTTATAAAAGATCTTTTGCATAATTCATTTTTTTGAGTTTTCCTCAAGTATTACTTAACATTTTGTAATACAGTCGAAAGTCTTTAATCCGGACGTCCATAATCCGGAATGATCTATAATACGGACCTCAAATCTACAAACTTTTTGCGCATGCGTCAACGCATGCACATAATATATTTACGCATGCGCGTTTAATGTATAATGGATGGTATAAGCTAAGCTAAAATTATCTAAATATCTATTTCAGATTTTAAATCAAATTCCTCGTCATTATAAATATCACAAATACACATCAAATAGTTTTCTGGTTGCAATTTTCTAATTTCGACTATGCGTAATGTATGCTTTACGCATGCGTGTGTTAAAAGAAATGTTTAATAACATAAACAAATAAATATAAAACTTTTCTTTTGTAAATTTTGATACCTTTTTAGATCATAATTGCTCTTTATTTCATAAATTACGGTTCATATTTTTAATTTTATAATTTCTGCATGCCATCTTACCAGATTTAAACTGATCTATAATCCGGAAAAACCGATAATCCAGAATCGCCGAAGTCCCGACGAGTCCGGATTAAAGACTTTTGACTGTATTTCAAAATTCCTATACTTTATTTAAAATATTTGTTTGATTTAATAAATAAATCTAAAATATGTCTTAAGATTTTTATTAACACATAAAGTTCAAAATTTATCTTCTATGAATTTCAGTAATTTAAAACACAAGAAAATTACATTTAAAAATTTTCAGTTTAAATAATGCAGATAGGTACTCATAAAACATTTCTAACATGTGCATTACTCAAAGGTGTAGCTAGGGTTTTCAGCGCCTGGAGACAACTGAAGATTTTGCGCCCCTTTCTGTATTCCAAGAATGGAAAACATTTCATTCTAAAATTTCGTCACATTAATTTGGCACCCCTTGAATGCTGCGAACAGCGACAGATGTCTCCCCTTGCCCCACCTTAGCTATGCCACTGGCATTACTTATGTTAATTAAATAAAAATTTCAGGGTTGATTTACTAAAATTATAGATATTTGGACTAAAATGTGGAAAACGGACGGTTTTAAGAATGATATTAAAAAGTTAGTAGTCTGCATCTTTAATCATGTTTATTTGAATACAGAAATAATTGTTATTAATTAATATCATATTTGAATCAAATTTGTGTTGCCTCAAATCTTTTACAGAAATTTCAAAATTAAATATTGATGTAGATATGTATGTACCAAGCGATGTACAACCAATGTTAATTATCTTTCCAAGAATGTTTACTTAATGAGAAGTAACATTTTGATTTTATATTATGTTAACATAACAGCCTAAGTGTGCTTTATAAAACTTTTTTAGGGAAACAAAATAATGAGTAAGAGTAACTCTAAACTATATTTATCGCCAATGCTCTGAAGAACTCACTTTGTAAAGACAAAAACATTAATATGTAAGCACATAATCTCCATTATGATAGTACCTATTTAATTACTGGTACATTTCCAATATGCACCTGCCATGCTTTTTTTTTCTCCCAAGTGTAGACACACAATTAAATATGCTAAATTAAGCACACACAAACATACACAAACCATTTGGTTCCCAGATGGTGTTACCATTAGGTCTCGAAGTGTGTTTGGTTTCTCTTCTACGGGCACCAAAAAGTATATCAGATGCATAATAGAAAAGTACCTAAGTACCTTCAGGAAAAATATATTATTGCTAAACAGCATTTAATTCGGTGATAACTAAAACTATTCTATTTCCACTGGGAATGTTTGTCACACATTAGTTACATTGAAAAATTAGTTAAATAAAATGGTTATGCAGTTTATAAATGCAGTTACATAATATGCAGTCACAAAATTATATATAATTCAAAAATGTAATAAAAGAGTACATTTTTTGATAAAAATCATGTAATGTTTTTCAAAAAGATTGACTGATTATAAAAAACCAAGTCATGATAAAATACAAACTAAAATATAGAAACTATTTCATTAGGAAAAACATTCTTACCGTTAGTTTCCTGAATCATCACTGCATGCAGGGATTGGGTATAAGAAAATAGGTATATATCAGTAAATGACAACCAAGAGTCAAATATGCTATGAACAGCAATTTCAAGCACAATTAATTATTCTAAAATAATTAAAAGTGTCATCTGAGATTAGTGATGGTCATATAAAAATGCATTCTTAGAAAAACAAGAATCAAATGTGCACAATGTATTAATATAAATAAACATTTAATAAATTCATGCAAAATAAGAAATGAATATTTACTGAACTCACAGTTAAGAAAGAATGCAAATATAAGAAAGGGCTAAACATTAGAAAAAAAAAGTCTCAGAACAAGAAAAAATTCATGCAGGAATAAGAAAGAAGAGTCCAAGAATAAGAAAGAAGAATTCATGCAAGAAAAAGAAATAAATAATTTATTTTTAAGTGTCTGCAAAAAATTAAAAGCAGAGAAGAATTAAATTATGAGAAGTACTGAGATTTTATAATCATGCTATTTAAATCAAAAGCTCAGTAGGGAAGAAACGTGTTAAAATTCTAAACTTGCCAAATTAGATAAATGAACTTCATTAACATTCTATGACACCTTTCGGTTTACTGCCCATGAATCTTTATCATGAGACTTGTGATACATGGAGATTTTAGAATTATAAGATAACTCAACATAATCTTGAATGTTCTAGCAAATTTTAATTTTAAAGATTAACATTCTGCTGTGCAATGAAACAATTTTAGTTAAACTACACAAAATTCAAATGCAAATACACTTTGCATAGTACTTAACCACATAAATTTCTACAAAACAACTGGTGCTACAGAATTAAAGATATAATAAAAGACATTTTTATATTATGTGTGAATATTAAATGTGATTTATTAATTGCTACTTATACTCTTTTTAAACAAGCTGTACTAATCAACAATGTAAATGAGTAAAACAACTGCTAAAGAACAATGCATGTTAGCTCAGTAATTATAAATTTAAACAGTTCATAACTGCACAAGGCTAACTTCTTAACTCTGAAAGGATCTATATTTAATTGATAAAAATCAATTAATGATTTTAATTCTGTTTTGTTTTGTAAAATTCTTTTAAATTCAATCATTGTATATTTAAAAGCTATAATCTACATTAGTTAAAAATTCTGCATCAGAGATTGTCTCCAATATCACATTTTAATAGCCGCAGTACACATGCAATCTTATGCTACAGTGTCATTATTATTCGTGACTTTCTGACAAAGGCACATGAAAATGGAAGTTTCTTTAAGTTATGGCACAAATCAAAAGTATATGTAATAAATACTTTTTGAGATATACAGGGGATGTTTACACAATTTTAAAACAAAGTGGTGGTACTATAATCTAATGCTTTAAATAAAAATACTTATCTCATCTCTTTAATCATTTAGCTGATAGCCCCCTTTCACTTGACTTACCAGTAATTTCTAAGGCAAGATGGCATTTCACAAAGTTAGTAGTGATATTCCTCCCCCTTTCTGCTCTCTTTCCTTTCTCTGTCCAGTGCTTTTGGTATGCAGACAGAATGTGCTTTTTTTTTAGTTGCCCAATGTCATAAGTAAGACATCACAAAATTTTGAAGGAATATTTCTGTTAATTTGTTTCATCAATTATTATTAGGATACTTTACTTCTACCTCTTTATTTAAGAATTATTTGGATGTCACAATATGATATCAATAATCATAATATATTTTCATCTGCTTTAGGTTAAATGATTTTTAATGACATGTAAAGTTTGTTTAATGATTGAATTTGCTGAAGTATTTTTAATGGCATGTTTGACAACGTGTCAAGTGCTCAGCTTCATGGCTAGGTAATAAAACATTACACATTTTAGCCTTTAAAGATTAAAAACTTCATATATTACTTTATCTATTATTGGAGCAGAAATATTTGAAGATACTGCAATTATTCTTTTAATCGGTGATTTTTTTTTTTTTGGACATTAGAAATTTTAATTTTGTAAAAGTATGTACTGAATATTTAAGCCCCCCCCCCCCGAATATGAAAGCAATGTATAGTGACTCTTCCCTTTATTATGAACAACATTACATAATTTAAATTTAGAAATGTTAATTCTATGATTTTCACAAAATTTCTAGAATATGGAATGCTATTTATCTGTAGAAGGAAGCTAAAATATAACATTTAATTTAGCATTTGTTTATGCGTGCTATTTTTTTAAAAAATGATATTCAATTGAATGAAAATCATGATAGTTTAGGCAGAAACCTCAAAGTCATGATAAATATTCTTTTGGAATCCCTCCTTCTTTCCCCTCCATCAAAGCTGTTCTAAAATTGTGTGAACAGATTCAATAATTTCCTTATTTGGGATACCTTTCTGTCAGAAACCTGCATCTTATTTATCATGGATATCATTTATATTTAATGCTATGTAATATTTTTCAAAATTTCTATTCTGCCTGATATAGAAGAATGCATGCTGCCCTTTGCAACGATTTTCTAATTAAGTTAAAAATGCATGTAGCAAAAGTGACAAGTTTTTATAAAGACAGCCTGCAACTGCCCCCCCTTTTTTTAAGATTTATGCTAATTTGTGACCACCAAAAAATGTATGCATTCATTTTCATGATTTAGAAAATAATCTCATTGCCTTTCACAAATTCATAACATTGCTTATATATAAATAATACACAACTTACATAATACTCCAAGAAAATTCATATATTAAAAACTAACCTCTTCTTTTTGCCTAACAACCATTCTGCCACACCCCAATAATAAACGGTTTGTGCAATTCCAAACAAAGGTGCGATTACAATCATCCGGCAACCAGCTCCTTTAAAAAAAGCTTGAAAACCTTCTGTTTTGAAGATTTTGCTAAAAAGAAATAAGTATTATGAGTATTGTTACTGTTTTTGAACAGCTTAAAGTCCATTTACAATTCTATAAGAACTTAAAATGCGATGAAGAATTTAAAACAATTAAAACAGTTAAACTTACATAAAAGCATCTGGAATTCCTGAGTAGGTCATTTCACCACTAGCTTTCTTCAAAAGTTGCAGTCTTGTTTTAACAACTAAATATCATAAAAATAATATCAACTACTAAGTGCGGCAAAAATGAATTTAAAAAAACTATTGAGTAATGTTTTAAAACAGTTGTAATAAGTAACTGAATTTATGTAGTTGTTATCAAAGTCATTAGTGTAGTGTAGTTCCGTACTTATGTAGTTGCTATCAAAGTTAAGCACATATTTAAAACAAAAGTTCACATCTAAATCAATAATTTTACATATTCAATTGAACATATTATTTTGTTGTTGCCTTCTTTTGTTTCTCAGAAGTCTTATACATTACTTATAAAATTAGTTTAAAATATTACTCTACATAAAAACAGCTCATTTTTATAGGGTTACTAATAACATTTAATAAATCATATGAAAAACCATGCCTTCTAGCTTTTATTATATAGTAAAAGACCCATTATAGTATAATAGATCATTTTAGTGTGAATGGGTAAAATACTGTTTCATGTTAAGATAACTTAACATAAATCCACTTATACTGAATAACTGATTTGAATAACTATGTTGATAGCTGATTTTGAAACTGCCATAATGCTGTTATTTTTTGAAAAATTTAAAATATTAATTTCTATATAAGTCTTTGTTAAATAAATTTTGTTTAAGCATATATAATCATATTTCTGTGGTGACAGTGATAAGGAGGGTGCCTTGCCAACCCTGCCGACATTCACAAATCGACCATACGTACATTATTCGGTTTATTCGAAAGTACCCGAATGCAAATTCGGTTTATGTAATGCATCCATGACTTTTCAACATTTTATAGATGAAGTCACACAAGATTTAGGTGTTTATGCTTTCATCAATGACTTGCTCATAGCCTCTAGAGATTCTGAGGAACACTGCAGCCATTTGAAAGCTTTATTTTCAAAACTTCAGGAATATGAACTTTGCATAAAGGTTTCAAAATGCACCTTTGGTCAAACATCTGCTATTGATTTCTTAGGTTTTCACGTAAGTTTTATCACGAATTGAATCTTTTCCTAACAAAAGGTTCACGAATTGAACGTTTTTCTAACAAAAGGTTTTCCTAACAAAATCACATGTATTTTAGATTTCCCTCAACCTACTATTCTCACTCAGCTTCGCTAATTTTTAGGCATGTTTAACTATATATTTCATACCTAAAGCAGCACATATTCTTTCTCCTTTAATAAAATTGTTGGAAGGCCATACCAATAAAACGAAACCTCATTCTTGTGTTAAGGATTCATCCACACCGTTTAATTGAAACAAAAATGCTGAACAAGCCTTTATTGCTGACAAAAATGCCACTGCTCATACTACCCTTTTGAGACACCCTATTCCCAGAGCCCAGTTAAGCATATGGGTAGATGCTACAGACATCACAATAGGCGGCACTCTTATGTAGTTGTCTCAACAAACATGGGAACCTATAGCATTTTTCTCTATGAAACTGAACAGAAGTCAACAGAAATGGTCTGCGTATGATAAGGAATTATTTTCAATTTATTTTGCGATTACGAAATTCCAACACATGTTAGACGACAGAAATTTTCAAATTTATATGGATCAGAAACCGTTAATATATGCTTTTAAGCAGAATCCTCACATGCTCAACGGCATGATCCGGAAGTACAAAACCTTCTCAAAAACAATACATCATCTTTGAAGCTGGAATTCAAGCCATGCCAATACTCCAATGGTAACATTCTTTGTGACATCTCTACTAACATTTCTCATCCATTTGTGCCAAACTTCTTTCGCAGACTCATCTTTAATCGTCTGCATAATCTATCACATCTAGGAATTGCAGCTGCTACAAAACTCATTTGTTTTCATTATGCATGGCCCAATATGAACCGTCATATCAAACACTGGGTGAAATCCTGTGATTCTTGCCAGCGATCAAAAATAATTAGACATACTAAAGTGCAATTGGGGCACATTTTTCACAAATCCACATGGATATTGTTGACCTGTTGCCACTATCAGAAGGCAGCATGTGCCTTTTGACTAAAAGATAGACTTCCCAGATGGCCTGAAGTCATACTTATTCCAGATATGAAAACAGAAACTATTTGCAGAACAATTTTCAACTCATGGATATCTTGCTTTGGCTGTCCATCAGTTATAACAACTGACCAAGGTTCTCAAATGAGAGTTGCAATGTTTGCAGAGTTTACTCACATTCTAGAAACAAACAGAATCACAACGGCAGCCTATCATCCAATGTCAAATGACATTGCTGAACGATTTCACTGGCACTCAAAATCCTCTCTCAAGGCTCATGAGACCAATAACTGGACTGAAACACTTCCAGTTGTTCCGCTTGGTATCTGGACAGCCACTGAAGAGGATCTGCAAACATCTTGTGCAGAACTGGTGTACGGCACAACTCTCAGGCTGTTTAATATCATAATGCCATCTACTCTAATGAACTCTAAGACACAAACTGTCACAAGATCTGGAAAGCATGTGCACTTTCCAAAGAAACTTGCTTCTTATATAAAAATTTAACAAAATGTTTGAAATTTGCTTTTTCACATATTTATTAATATTTTACTTTTATTTGTGTGCATTATTACCTAGTCATAATGTTGAATCACATTTTGATTTTTCTAATTTTATATCCTAATTTCATGTCAAGGGGAAAAAAATACTCGACAGCATGGATCCTCTTAAATATTTTCATCATCCGATGTCGTTGCTTTAAATTGTAATCAAAGGAACTGGGGGGAAACTCTGTGGTGATAGTGATAAGAAGCATGCCTTGCATCCGGCGCGAGCGAGTGCCGATAAATACGGTAACCCTAGGTAGAAGCAAGAGAGACGGCTGTTCGAAGAGTAGCATACATGTTTGAGTGTGTCTGTGATTATGGCAAAACCTCGAGGGCTATCTGCCTAATGGGAGGGATGCCTTTTCAGAGGACTTTCTAAGGGAAACTGGCTCATAAATACGTTACACATGGGGAAAACCACGAAAACGCCCATGCAGCCAGCCTGTTCGCAGGATTCGAACCTTGGACTGAATTACCAGTGTTCAGCGACTTTACCGCCCAGCCGCTGTTGAGCGCATACATGTTTGAAATCTCAAGATAAAGATCAGTTTTTACTCTGTAATATGTCTGCTGAAAGTTCTTGATAAATACAGTGAGAACATTTGATGTAATATGGCCAACAAGAATTCTGTGGGATCATCAACGATTACCACATTTCTAATTGATATAATATATACATATGCAGCAATCTGACAGAAGCAAAACCAGAAATGGCACAAACTTTCCAAAATACTTGATATGATGAACTTTTATTTTTATTTATTTTTTTCCTGCTGATTAAAACACCATAAAAGGATAACACAGTGTAACATATATATATATTTAAGATGACGTTAAATTTTTTAGATTAATGTGTATAACTCATAAATTGATTATAAATGAAACATGCAATCTATAAATATTAATTGAAAAAACAACTGTTTACTATAATTTGTTTACTGCACCAATTATTGCTTAGATTTTACAAATCTCCTTTTCTAACAATGGATTAAAAATGCACCGTCTTTACATCAATCTCTCTTAATGCCAAAGATTAAGGAATTACTGTTGTGTTAAAGTTTTCTATTATTCTTTTGATGCATACTGCATCTTTTTTCTATCTTTCATTTAGATAGCATATATAATCCCCTCTGACTATAAAAAGTGATATTTTTAATTGAATAATCTTAGTTAACCGCCGAGCACACGCACCGATCCGACGAACACGAGAACACGCGCCGGGTATGTCATACCCGAATAAAAAAATTGTAATTAAAAATTTGTCAAAAAAAATTAATTGTTTTTTAAAAGAAATTAAATGTAAAACCAAGTTAATATTTCATTTTAGACAAAATAGGAAACAATAAGGCGAGGAAAAATTATTTACTTACAATTTTTTGAACATTGTTTACAAAATGAGGTCATATGTTCCATACATATATTTTTGCTACAATTTTCACAAATGAAGTTGTGAAGTAGTCTTTCTATCCTTTTTCTTGGGGGCACTGTACAATTCTTGTAAGTCATTTTAGGTTTTTTGGGGGACAGTTCATTGTTAACATGTTCATCGGTGGTCAGTGTTTGTCCAGAATCGGGAACCACAGATGCTCTCCGTCATTCATTTTGAACATTTTCTATTAGCTACATCCCTAAGGCTTTGAGAAAAGTACTCATCCCGTTCACGAGTGAAATTTTCTCGTATTGAATAAATATATTTTTATTGTCAACTACATGTTTTAACATATCTTCATCGATAAGCAATGACAAGGAATCTAAAGGTGTTGAGAAGTTTTTAGAATACTTTGTATTTCCAGGGAGTTTAGTTATAATATTTTTGGCGCCAATTCTAACATTAGTCCGAAATTTATTTTTGTTCCATTTTTTCCAACATAAAAACTCATTGCTACATTCTAGAGTTTCATTTTCTGTTTCTGTATCTGCATCACTACTCTCTATGGGTGAATCATGATTACTATTATATTCTTCGTCATCAACATCTTCCTCTTCTTAACTAAATGAATCCTCATCAGAAGAAACTGTTTCAAGGAGATTTCTCAATCTGTTCATCTCTTCATCATAAGGAATATACGGCACCATACTTACAACTCAAAAAAAACCTATACTAAAAGCTTGAAAACGAGGAGTGAGAAGTGACTCAGTGAGAAATGCGAGTACATGCACGGGTATGACATGCCCGAACAATGCTGTTCCTAAAAAACCGTTGCACTTGCCACCTCAGGAATTTCCCCCATTTAAGTATGTGATCTTGAACTCAGCTACACCAAGTTTCGTCCTTTTATGAAATAATGGGCGAGAAATATCCAAAAAGAAAAATGCACATGGGTATGACATACCCGCCGCGTGTGCTCGCGGGTTAAAAATAATAACAAGCAAATAAATAGAAAGTAAAATTTTCAGACTTACATTACAGTAAACATATATGCATAGGTTGTTTGAAAAGTTTCTGACCGAACAAAGAAAAAATATTTTTTCCCCCAAAATTACATTTGTTTTTTGACCTTGTAAGTCTATACATTTCTTCCAGAGATGCCCCCATCTTTTTAACCTGCCCAAATAATATGCGGAATCTTTCTTTGTAATGTCTCATCATTTGACAAAAATCTTTGTTCTCCAAGGTCTTCTTTTAGCTTAGAGAACCAAAAAAAGTCCCTTGTTTCCATATCTGACAAATAGGATGGGTGGTCAAGCAGTTCAAATCATAATTCATTTTCGCTGTTGCAACTGCTGAGGTGTGAAATGGAGCACTGTCTTGATGAAACAAATTGTTTTGTTTTTTCCTTTTGCAAATCTGTTTTTCCTTAATTTCTGTCTGCTTATCAAGTAACGTTGCATAGTATGCTCTGGTAATAGTTTTCCCTGCTCAAGATAATCTATTGAGACAGTCCCACGGCTGGCCCAGAAAACTATTGTCATCCCTTTCCCAGCAGAAGGAATAATTTTTGCCATCTTTGGAGTTAATTCTCCCTTTTCAGTCCGCTGTTTTGACTGTGTTTTTGTTTCTGGGCTGTAATGATGAATTCAGATATCATCTACAGTGATTAATAGTAAAAAAAACTCCGATTTACTGCACCAACATAACAGTGCAAATGTTTATTTGGACACGTTTTTGGTCCAAAGTGAACCAATGTGACACCCAGCCTTGCAGCCAGCTTGCGCATATCTAAATCTTGTTTCCATATGTGGCAAATACATTCTTTGGGCATGCTAATAGCTTCTGCTATCTCTCTAACCATGATTCGACGGTCGTTAGCACAATTTGGTGGATTTTAATGATGTTTTCTTCAGTGGTTACAGTTTTTGGCTGTCCTGAACGTTCATCGTCATCCAAGCTGGTACGCCCACATTTAAATTTAGCTACCCAAATTTTCACATTAGTAAATGATCATGTAGAGTCACTGTACACTGCATCAACTCGTCTTTAATCTGAGTATGCATATTACCTTTCAAAAACAGTAATGACAGCACGATAGTCGATTTTTTTCCATTTTTGCAAAAATGGTCACATCAACTCACAAAAGTAATTGTCAAACAAAACATTTACGTTCAAAATAGCTGAAATTTTGATTGCTAATTCTCAAGTTGATGCCCAAACAAGTCCCCCCCCCCCCCACATTTTGATTGATTTGAGTTGTCATCTACATACCGTGGTCGGAAACTTTTCAAACAGCCCTTTTATTTTGCTTAGAAAAGACAATCAAATTATCCATTTTTTTCCTATTAAATATGCTATTGTACAATTATTCCATTTATTTCAAGTTCTATTGCAATAATGAAAAGAAAAGTTCTCTTATCATACCATCAAATGGATTAACAGTAAATGCTGCAGTAGAACCAGCTACGCAACCTGCTAGAAATGATGTCCAAAACACTGCTTCTCCACTTCCGTCTTTTTTTCGAGGCCCCAGAGCATTCAAATGTGCAAACAATGGAAAATACACAATAGAAAAATTAACATCACGTAACATGGTAGCTGCTGTTCCTTTATACAATCCAGCTATACCCCTTGAGCGAAGAAGCTGCAAAGCTATGGAAGTAGCTGATGTGCTGACAACAGTTCCTCCTTCAGCAGCACTTTTAGTGGCTACAAAAAATTAATACCTATTATAACTTTCTCAAATTAATGACTATTATAACTTTCTCAAATTAATGACTATTATAACTTTTTGAAATTAATGAATGGAATGTAGTGTTTGCCGGCTTTATGAACTTGCTGAGCATGTTTGGTATCCTAAGATAATTTTTATTGCCAAAAATGAAATCCATACTACAAAGTCATCATTTTTATTCAATGAGAGCATATAAGACAAGTTACAGAAAGATGCTGAATACATTTAAGCTTAAAAATCTCAGAAATAAATATTTCACTCATAATGCAAATGCTGGAATTGGTGCATAAAATGAAATAGGGAACTATTTTGTAGAGAAAAGAGATGAGGTTTAATTAGAGTAGAGTAATTTTTTAAAAATTCATTTCACCATGGTTCTTTCTTTCTTTTTTTTTTTTTTTTTTTTTTTTTTTTTTTTTTGAGAGAGAGAGAGAGAGAGAGAGAATCACCATAGTATAAAATATGGATTTAAAAAATTTCAAACACACATTAAAGTAATATTTTGTAACATTCAACAATTGTTTTGATAGTTCATTTGTGAAGCAAAAATTAATGATAATGAAAAGTACTACAACTTAAAAAATTCACTTTAAAAAATTATCGAAAATTTTATGATTATTTTCCCAGAAAATCTTCATTACATAATTCAGTTTGTATAAAATAACTTTATATCAACTGAGCAGAAGGATGTTAGTCAAATGAAAACCTTTAATACTAGGTATGTCTTTCCGAAAACAAAATCACCATCACTCATTTATATCCCCTTTCCTTTTATTTTATGAAAAGTACAGTACAATTCTAATTATCCAAAGTCCAACTATCTGAATCTTTTTCAGAATTTTTCAGAATCAACTGAAGAAGAGAAGGAAAAGGATAAAAAGGAAGGGAAGAGACAGAAGAAGATGAGGATGATGTGTCACTAGAGGAATTATGAAATATTCTTTTGAAAATTCCTGGATGTTCAGAAATTTAGTTCATTCCTGGATGTTCTTTTGAAAATTTCTGGATATCAGAAGTTAGTGCTGACGATATAGCAGAATGAATGGTGTGTTGATTCCCTAGGTCCCTAGACCCTGAGTTTCAAAATCCTAAATGATGATGAACTTATTGAAAGTGAGAGAGAAGAAATTGTTGAGGAAGAAGATGATCTTAATGCTGAAGTTGAACCAGACACAGGACTATCAGCTAGAGAAGCACTTGCTGGCCTTGAAACTGCATTGACGTGGATGGAGTGCGAGCCTGAGTGTGAACACATAAAACTTCTCAATGTCAAGTGGATGCACAACTTGGCTGCCCAAAAACGGATGAAGACAGTCAAACAGTTTACTTTATTCGTGATGTTCCAGCAAGCAATGACTTTCAGCACTTATAAGTACTTGCTATATAACAAGTGTTGGCTTTCCATTTTAATTAATTAAAACCTTTATTTCTTTAAAAAGAGTTTTTTCTTCCATTTTCAACATACAATAATTAATTAAAGTATATGTAGACTCTTTCTTCGTAAAAAATCCAATTATCTGAATGGGGTTCACTCCCAGTTGATTTGGATAATTGGAATTCTACTGTATTCTGTAATTAATGCAGAATTTCTGCATAATGGAGTACATATGTACTGACACATATTCTGTCTGTTAACAGAATCAGAATTCTGTCAGAAGTTATTCAGAATACAAGATAAAATTTAACTACCTTAGCTTCTACCCACCCCAAAAAAATAAAATGGTAAATATCCACACAAGATAATAAAGATCAGCTAATAGTACTTAGTTAGAAAAAGTAAATAAATATATTTTATGGCTTGCATATTTTATAGATATAAATATATTATTTCTGTACACTATTGTAAAAACAATACATGCCATTCAATAAGATATATTTTCTTATTGTTTTGAAATAAGGATTTATAATATGCAATGCATATTTTTAATTTTTAAGGAAATTCATAAATATGCAATAAACTAAAATTAGCTCTATGCACTAAGGAAAATTTTGTAGCATTTCATGCACTGGAATTTTTGACTGCTCATATTTATAAATTCACTTCATAAATACCATGCATGAAAAAATAAATAAATAAAAATAATTTTACAAAACTTAGTAGTAGAATTTACTTCACCTTAAAATGTGTAAGGATTTATTTATTTTTCTAACCAGCTATTTTATGTTAATCAACTTTATTGTTTTTCTCCTTCTCTGTTTTCCTGCCAAAATCCAAATTTTAGTTCATGTGTGTTCACATGAGGTAGAAAGAGTTAGTATTTAAAGGAGGGTTTTAGTCTACTGAATCAGAGCATCTTCTGCCTACTGCCACATAGTGGAGTAGCGAGCATAACTGGCACCCAGAGCAAAATACCTTTTTGGCAGCACCCGAAAAAAACACAGTGATATGATGAAAATCTTGTTTGGAGACCATTTGGTGCCCCTCTGAGAGTGGCGCCTGGGGCATCATACTTATTTAAAATTCTGAAATGCACTGCAATCTTAAAGAATTTATGCAACTCATAAAAAATAATTGGTACTCTTCTGTTATCGGGATCACATTCAGAAATGTATGCATGCATGTATGTATGAAATATGTGTCTGTGTATGCATGTACATATGTATGTGTGTATGTAAACATAACATATATACACATCTACAAACACATCTGCATAAATGCATGCATTCTTGAATCTGATTTGTATAATTCTTTTATATGAAAACATACATACATTCTTGAATCTGGTTTGTATAATTCTTTTATATGAAAACATACATACATTCTGAATCTGGTTTCGATTAGAGAAGAGTAACAAATAATTTAACATAATTAAAACACAATACAGTTAGTTCCTTGATACAGACAATTTAACTTACAGTATTTCATACTTACTCAAGATTTTCCATAAGAAAAATTTAAGAGAATGAATAATAAAAAGTTGCAAAAGAGAAAAAATTACAATATAAAAATTAAAATCTTTTTTCTAATTGAAGTAGGAATCACTACACTGATATACAGTCCTAATACTGAACAGTTTACTGAGTCATACAGCATGCCACAGCTCTAAATGAGATCAGTTCTAGCAATTTGTTATACAGTAATACCTTGATTTACAGAAACTTTTATATAGCTCCTTATTTTATTTTATGAATTTATGCTTGCAATTTGCATTGAAAACTGATGTTAATTCAGAAAATGCTGATAAATAAAATATTACTCTACCTATAAATTATAAATAGTTTTAAAGAAATAATATGTGTAAAAGCATAATAATTTATGTTAAATGCTCTAACACTCCCTTTCCCACTTGAGAAATTGCAACAGGGTTCATTGACAATGCAGTTATTCAGTGTTTACAATGTTTAACTTTATGATGCAGAAAAAATGAAGAACTGAGTTTGATATTTTTTATTTCTTCATTTTCCCCCACTTTATAATTATGAATTGAGTCATCAGAGAAGTCTGTTATATTTAATAAAGCTAATGGCAGCAAAATAACTTCATTTGATGTAACACATTTATTTTAATACTATTTTGGACTTGTATACTTTTCTTGTAAAAAAGTGTTTTTCAGCTCTTGGTCCTATAGGATCAAGGTACTTGCATGAATCCAACTCACACATAACTTTGGAATATTACAATGTAACTGAACTTCAAAATTAGAAAAAAATTATGTTACTCATACAGGAATTTCTTATCAGTTTTTAAAATTGATATTGAATACTGACCTTATCTTTCATGGAAAAAGCTACATGAATAGACTGAGATGAAACACTCCATGTTAAATGAGATTCTTTCTGGGAACATAATATATGGGTTATACTACTCAAAAAGTCTTCAAACGAATTAAAAGCAAAAATAAAAAAACAATTTTATTAACTGCAAATTCTTAAAAATATTTGCTTTCCTTTTATCCTCAGTACACTGTCTTGTTATCATTACTTTACTTACTCTTTATTTGTTTAGTTGCTTAATTTTTGTGAAGTACTTATTTGTTACTTAGCTGATTTAAAAATATACATGAACATGAACTGCTCAGGCTTCTGCTAATGTTTTCATAAACTTGCCAAGATTGCTAAAAGATGAAATATTAAAATTTTTATCTTCAAAGCAAGACATATCCAAATTTTAATTATCTTCATATAAACAAATTATTATTCTAAGACATATTAAATTTTAACCATCTTCAGATAAACAAATTATTATTCTAGACTTTTTTAAAATAACATAGGTTAAGATATTAATATTTTTAACCTTTCTATATATACACTAAAACTTACTTTGCATACTTTTTTACAAAATTACATACATACTCCCTGCTAAAATCATTCCATACATATTAATACAACATAAAAACATTATAACATTATACCATTTTGCACTAAAATTAGTTATTTATACAAATAAATATATAACTTCATAACCTCACATCTTGTATATGAATAGCATGAAGTTAAAATTTTAAACAACAGTCTCAAACTTTAAAAAACTTTAAAATATGCATCATTCAATGGTTATCAACACTTTCAGCACTTCTAAAAATTCAGTAATAATTTTACTATAAAACTAACTGTAGTAATTATAAATATTTAAAAAATAACTGACCAACTCTTCCTGCATCTTGTAGTTGTATTTTGAGAAGTTCCATAGGAGTTGTGACAATTATTTGACAAAATCCTGCAGATCCACCAGCAATCATTTCTCTTTGCAGTGATAGCTTACTACAATACAGATATAACATGAATATTTAAAAGTTTGCATCATATACATTTTTGTCAAAGGAGAATCAAACTTTTGCATTTTATTTTTTATAATAAGTACAAAATTTTTCTAAAGTATAGAAAATGCAGAAACATATAAAAATTTCGGAATTCCTACAAAACCGATTTCTAAAAATACCAAAACATAAATATTTACATGATTTAAAATATTTTTGTTGTTGGAAATATATGTCTATGACCAATGGTTGCAAATTAATGGTTGGGTAAGGACTTCTGTTGATACAACGTATATAAATAAAGTGAGATAATAAGATATTGAGGATCAAAAATGACACAAAAGGCTGTAAATATAACAATTCATACTGCATGGGATTTTTATGCCTTAGAAACATAAAAAGTAAGCAAAAAATAATTTTAAAAAAAATTCAGAATAAGAAGCAAATGATGAAATCTGGCAAGGGAAAAGTCAGTAAAAAGATATGGATTTTTCATTCGTATTTATATTACTTTTACTAGCATTCTGTATTATGTACATTAATTTTTGTGAAGCTGCTTGGGTGTTTTTATATCTTATTCTTATACCCAATTATAACTATAGATAGCATTGATGATATACTACATAACTACATTTCAGTACTGAGCAACAGTAGGAAATGGTCAAAGGAACAATGCTCTTGAAATACCTAACTTGAAAATGCATACTACCTGAAAAAGCATACTACTTATAAGATCATTGGGTATCCCTAGGTTCAATAATATATACTACTGTATAGCATATTATAAAAATTAAGGGTATGCATTCTGGTTAGTACATGTTTTAGATGAATGTAATAATCAGCAGTTCAAATGATACAAAATATGTTCCTATTTGCATTTTAGCATTAAGCCTGGAGGATAGAATATGTACTAATGCAACATGAGTGGAAAAAGGTGCTATGATATTGTCTTGCAGTATAACATATCCTAATAACACAAATAAGAGCCACCCTACATAAGAGTATGATAGCAGCACAGGCAAAATGAATTCTCTCAATTGAGAATGCACTGGACTGAGGAATGAATCACACTGGAACTGAAGAATGAACTGTTGAAACCATAGCATGTAACCCATTCACATAATATTCACATATTCTTATTAAATTCACATATGATTATATAATCCATGGTTAGGCCAATTTCCATCATTTTATCCACAAACCAAAGTACTTGTCTATAATGAAAACTGATATAAACAAACATACATTTAGATTTTATTCTTATCAATAGGATATTTTGAAAAGTATAAAGAAAGATTAAAATTACAAATTTCTAAAATTATTCCTTCATTATAGCATTTTTTTTTTTAAATTATCCATTGCTGTAATGAAAAAAATTAAAATCAAGTTCATGTTCCTTTTTCACTAAAACTTTTTAATTTTTTTAAATAATTTTAATTAATAAATGCTTTTTTAATTAATAAAGATAACTTGCATTACTCAAAAAAAGGTAATATAGTCAAAAGTCATTAATTCGGACACCCATAATCCGGAATGATCTATAATCCGGACCTCAAAGGTAAAAACTTTCTGCGCATGCGCCGCATTGACACATGCGCATAGGCGTTTATGCGTGCGCATAAGACCTTTTACCACTGTGCATATACATGTGCGCAAGCGCAGAATACGTTTTCGCGTGCGCGTTTTATGTATAACGGACGGTATAATCTAAAATTATCTAATTATCTATTTCAGTTAATTTTGATGATTGCGTTGTTCCTTAATCTTCGAATTGGATCTGGCTTATTATTTTTTGTAGACTGTAAGAGCAATTTTATAAAAGTAAACTTGAACTTTCGATTATGTCAAATAGAATTTCCGATTCTGGAGCTCCCAAAGGATCGTACAAAACGAAAGTATGTTTCGATGTCCATCAAACAAAAAGTGGAATTGCTGCAAAAAACGGATAAAGACATGAAGAATGTGACAGAGAGGTTAGTGAAAAAAAAAATTTTTGATTGACAAGTTAGTCGGTATTCTCGGCACAACAACTAACGGGACTTGAACAGCGGAACTTTGTAACTAAACAAGAAATTGTGTCTGTTTGTAGAATTAAAGAGAAAGTATTATCACATAAAACGAAGCAACTTAAAACATTACATTGAAAGAAATGTTTAATAAAATAAACAAATAAATATTAAGCCCTCTTTTTTTTTTTTTTTTTTTTTTTTGTGTGTGTGTAAATTTTGATACCCTTTAGATTATAATTGTTCTTTATTTCATAAATTAAGGTTTCATATTTTTAATTTTAGAATTTCTGCATGCCATCTTACGAAATTTAAACTGATGATCTATAATCCGGAATCGCCAAAGTCCCAACAAGTCCGAATTAACGACTTTTTACTGCATCAAAAGAGAAATCAGTTTCAATAAACAGGGTTCGTAAAAATTTCTGCTCATTGAAGTTAAATACTTTTAAAGACTTACTAATGAAAAAATTAAGGACCTATTAGCAAAGGGAACTGAATAAATTAAAGCAATTATCTATAACCAAACTTCACTTTTGTAATACCATTTTAAAAATAAAATAAATATAAGTAGGATACATTATTATTTAACATAATTCAATACTTAATATAACTATAAAAAAAATTCAAGAATAAAATCAACTTTGTAAAACTTTCAGGTAATTAGCATTAAATTACAAAATTCCTCCAAATTTATACTAATATTATTTATATTTTATACTTAAAATAGTTCCACATATTTTAAAGAAGATTAGTGTTTTACTAACAATTAATTTTATGATGATTCTTTCTTTTATGCCTCATTTTGTCAGATATTCGCTCAGTCCAGAGGTTTGTGAAAATTTTATGTCAAGTGGCATAGAATAAAAAGAGAGTAAAATCATAACCAGCATGATTCCTAACAGAAGCTTGGCTGTTGCCACTGCTGCTGCTTGCTAAGAGAGAGACGCTGATTAGAACAGACATGAATACCTCATTGCAAGATTGGTGTACATTGAAAGTTAAGTGCACTTTATCTTCCGACCCAGGTAGTGTCATAACTTCATCTAGAGTTATAATCCAGTTAATATATAGTATTTCATATAAAGTACCAACAAGCTGCTGTGGTGCTGAAGCACCACAGGTGGTATACATTGAAAGTTAAGTGCACTTTATCTTCTGACCCAGTTAGTGTCTTCACCAAAAAATAGCTGAAGCACCACAGGTGGTAAGTTGTTTTATATTATTTTAAATATCCTTAGCTGTAAGGAATAAAGTTTTATGTTAATTTTTAAATTTTTCTGTTGTATCTTATGTACACAATAAGGATTAAGGAAAGATCTTATGTATACAATAAGGATTAAAGTTACCTTAATATGTAGAGATAACTTCTATGGGTGAAAAACTAGTTACAAATACTTACATATGTAATTGGATACCCACAGTCATTACAGATTTATATGGTCACTATTATTATTTTTTTTAATATCTGTTAAAAATATATTCAATCATAGTTTAAGAATATTTTACAGTTTAAAATACAGATAAATTATGCATGCAATTTATGATATTGACATTACACGAAAAAGGTTAACAACACACAACAAAATATTTATGTATCTTTTTAATTTGAAAAATTTTGAAATATTTTAGTTAATTTACATCAGTTTTCTTCTCTTTAACATCTTTTTTGTTTCAATAAACAAATCAATCTTCCCCGCTAGTTTCTGCTTCATCCTGCAATTTGTTAATGCTGTAACAATATACCTTTGAAGAATAATTTTCCTTTTCTTTATGTAATCAATTTCTTCCTCTATAAGATTTCTCTACATTTTAGAATTTCAAATTTAATTGGAGATTTCGTGTTATTCTAAGAACTACTTGCATTTAGAATGATAGAAAATGCTAATTTTATTTCTTTAATAATATGAGTATTGAGAATAAATGAAACGATATAAGATCACGGCCAGTGCTAGAGCTAGTGTAGCAGAATTTTAGAAGTTAGTGAAGCAATTGGCAACAAAATTTAGGCTTGGCAAAATGTTTAGAATTTAGGGCAGACTCTGGGCAGCAGAATTTAGATCCATAAAGACTGCATACCGAGTAGCAAAATGCCCCATATATCGTGCAATGATATACATAAAAATCTTTTAAATTCTGAGTTTTCTTTAATGACAGAAAAATTCTTTTCTACAGATGCCTGTCTATATGATAAGATTAGAACTATATTTGCAATTTTTCATGATTGTGTCTAGTGAAAAGATGAGAAAATATAATGAAGATAAACATGTTAAGAAGACTTTAGGACCAAAAGCAGAAAATTCAAATAACTTTGCTTTCACTGTTCTTCTGAAAATTTTCCATAGAATAAGAAATCTAACACAAATTTCCTATAACACACATTCATTGTGTGTTAATGCTATGAAAAATCTTTCACTTGGTCACATTTTTCTAGAATCGCCTGGAATTGTAGGTTATCACTACCAACACTGTAAGAGCAAAAAGCCAAATTTTTTTAATAAAAAATTCAGAATGAAACACTTTCAGAAAAGTGTAAAGCGAATTTTTAAAAGAAAACTGGCACACATTTGAATATTCTGAAACAATTACATGGGGAAAAAACTCTAATGAAAAAAATATGCAAGCGAACGGTCCAAGCGCGTAAGATGGCTTCCCCGCAAAACAATTTTAGGGTTGACATAAAATAGCAAATAAATGCAGGGTTGCCACATTTGGCGAAAAAATTGGCGATATGCCATGGACGGATGGAAAACCTTCTGGAACAAATTCTTACTAGCCCCAGAATGTTCTCAAACACAAGCCAAAAGCTATATGATCCCTGCTGGTCCGCAGTCAGTTAGAGTGTGCCTCGTCGAGAGGGCGAGTGTGTGTGCTTCGAGCTGATAGTCATTCAGCGAGTGTCTCAAAGTCTAGCGCTGAGTTGGTCGTCAAGTGCATCGAGAGTCTTTTAGTGTATCGTGAATTAGTGCATCATCGAGAGAGCGTGTTGAGCTCCGGAAGCGACTGAGCTGAAGAGTCGGGTGCCATGCTCTGTGTGTCGTCGATTGCATCGTGAGGTGTAGCGTGGAGAGTCTCGAGAGTACGTGGAGTTCCAAGAACAACTGAGCAGAGTCGGGAGCTGTACTATGGTGCAGTGAAGCTGTCTCCACCGTGATAGCTTGATAACCTGAAAGCTGTGCTGATTGTGTTAGCATGTTTATAGTAGATCTTCAATGACTGTAAAAAAAAGTGACTTTGGAGCTGTTCCGATTAATATTGGCTAAATAAAGTACGTTTGGATATTTCATCAATTAGTGTAATCGTTATTCACTCCAAATTCACACGAACCCCGTATGAACGTGAAGGAAGAAATAACATAACAATATAAAAGAAGAAAAATGAAATTAATTTAAAAATAACTAACTCTCTTGCTTTTGTTATGAAGTGCATTTCATAGCATTTGTTATCATATTCGTTTTTCAGAATCAAAACATTACTAAGTCGCCAAAATATAACCAAATTTAGTACTGCATAATAAAAGAAATATTTCAAAAAGGGAAGAGAACAAATCAAAAAGAATGTTTCTAATGCAATATTTTAAGAACACTCTAAAAAAAAGAAATAATTTTGAAACGTTAATATTTCAATCGAGGCAGTGCCCTAATAACAACTAGGAAAGAATTCAAATGATAACCCATCAGATACATATTTGTCAATGAATCAAAAAATATTCCTCCAAAATGACAATTCACAAACAAAATGGCAGTACTAAAAAACAGACAGAAATGTCAGATGAGTAAAATTAAAGATGCTTTGCATTAAGGATTTTTAAGAACCATAAATTGTTTCCAAGGATTCTTAAGAATTTTTAAGCACATTTAAGGACTGTACCAACTTTAATAAACTATCCATTTATTATTTTATATTATTTTAAATTAAATGTATTCAAAGTTTTATTTACTTATTTATTTATTGCAATCAGCAGCTTTCAGTTAACACATCAGATTAATAAAATCATGAGGTATAACTAGTAAATGTATTATATCTTTAAATATTTTTTAAGGAAAGAATATCTACAAGACATAAATAGTTAAAGTGAAAATGCGATATAATAGCTGTATTAGAGTTGAGGAAACATAGTTATTTAAAATTATTACTGCATTTCCATACATAAACTAGGAATTTTTAAGATTTTTTTTACTACTGAAATTGAAGAGTTGGTTTATATATAAAGTGATTTATAAGTAATTTGATACAAAAATGATAAGTTAAAAATTTTTAAAAGTATAATTATTATTTTATTTAATCTTAATATAAATTAAACAAATCTTTCAATGTTGGTATAAAACTTAGAATTGTCTAGTAATTCTTGGAAGCCTCTTTCCACTACACACAAGCCCAAATAAATGCCACTGTGCTCCAGTTGTTTATTAAAATTATTATCCCTTGTTTTATAGGTAATATTATCTTCAGTTCTATCAATATAATTGCTCAGCAACACTTTCAACTTCTTTATTAAGACTACCAGATCAAGCAGTTCTTTTCTATCCAAGCATATTTTGCTACATAAAAGAAACAGAGAGTTGTATTTTATTCACAAAAGTGAGAGAGGGAGAAATCTTGCAATTGCTTGTGTTTACCATAATTGGAAAGCAGAATAAAATTCTCCTACTATTATAAAAGTGCAAAATAATGTTCAATGAGCCACATAGTATTAGGAGAAATGAGATGGAGAAACTATTGGCACCTAAAGTTCTCTTTTATTCTACAGCGCTCTCGTCTCTATTTCTCGAATAGAAGCTGAAACTGAATTAATAGTTATCTCCCACTCATGTGCTTGGTTTATTAAATTAGAAGACAAATTATTTGCATTTTTGGTAATATATATAGCTGCATTTATAAAATTTTACATTTGGCTTTTATTTACATAGCTTTTCAAATTAAGCTTAATTTGTGCAGCAGAATCTCATCTCTCAGCTTAATAGTTGGAAACATATAACAATTCAGTTTGAAATGACTTTAGTTTTTTTAAATTTTCAAACACACAATAATAAATAACACTTTAAAACAAAAAGAAAAAAACTGTCCAAGTTTTACTTAAAAATTGCTTCACATGATAATCTTCAATTACACGATCATATTGTGGTGATGGCGATAAGGAGCACGCCTTACGCCCTCCAATAAGTGTGGCAACCCTAGAGGAGAAGCTTCTTACGAGTAGAGAGCAGAGCGAAACAGGACGGCTGTCGTGAGTGTGCACGAAGTTCCGAAATAAAGCTTAATTTTTATCGTGCACTATGTCTTGTTAATATTCATATTATGCAGTAGGAACATAACCTGTGATATGGAATTCGAGGATTGGTGGTAAAACATATAGGAAATCACGATGTCGTTCCTTTGAATGGCCATCAAAGGAACTGGGGGGAAACTCTGTGGTGACGGCGATAAGGAGCACACCTTGCGCCCTCCGATAAGTGTGGCAACCCTACAGGAGAAGTTTCTTATGAGTAGAGAGCAGAGCGAAACAGGCCGGCTGTCGGGAGTGTGCGCGAAGTTCCGAAATAAAGCTTAAATTTTATTGTGCACTATGTCTTGTTAATATTTATATTAATGCAGTAAGAACATAATCTGTGATATGGAATTCAAGGATTGGTGGTAAAACATATAGGTAACAATATGATGGAAATCACCATAATATCAAGATAATTATTAAATTTATGTTCTACTTATTCCAACATACCCTTTCTTACTATCTCCACATTAATAACCTCAAGTGTAGGCTTAAACGAAGCAAAGACTGCCCAGATATAACATTTTTTATGCTCTTCCAAAGGAAAAAAGCTTCATAACAAGATCTGCCATTAGATTCACTGTGACTTATCTAATTCACTAATGGCCTTGAAAAATCTTACATTTTGGAAATATGACACTATAATATTTTGTTAGCATTCAGAAATTTGTAAGCAGATTTAAGTGGGGGGGGGCACCTCACTTGAATTTTAGATGACCCTTATGGTAGAGGCATCTTAAAACACAGAATACATTTTTGGTTTTTAAAAATTAATTAATAATTTTGAGATCCCTTTGAATGCAACTGAAACTTGCATGACCCCATAAAATCATCCCTCCACAGATTTCCTCTTACATCTGATATGCAATAAATTAAAATACTGTTAATAGGTACAAAATTACATTCATCTGAAATCAGGAGAGTTATTTATAAATAAGCCTGAGTATTCTACAACTTACCCGGAGCCAGATGAAAGATGATGCCGAAAAAAATCGTTTGCAGCAAGTTTGATAGCCTTTTCTGGTGTAATAAGTAAAATATTAACAGCTGATCCTAAGCATTAAAGAAAAATATTATTAAGTGCTTTTATCTGCACATATATTCAATGTTAACAAAAAACAAACAATTATGTAACCAAACAGTAGTCAGATTTCTAAAGTTAGATATTATTGCATTAGGGTTAGTTAGATTATTATATTTTGAATTTGATTTCTAGTAATAAAAGAGGATAGCTGCATGAATATTTTCATAACACTATGTAAAAATTTGTAACACAGTTTCTGTTGAGTTCAATTTTTGATCTGTTTTAGAGTTAAATAGGCGTGCTGGTTTTTAAACTGTAGTTAGTTTTCTTTTAACATGTAAATTCTTTTTCTCTGCATCACATATGAATGTGCCAATGTTCATGGCATTGAGAATGGATCACAGGAAGTATTACTCCTCTCCTTTTTGCTGACATAAACCCTCTGCTTGGCACTGAGTGAATGACACCACAGGAGCTCAGCAAGAGGTGCATACTAGTCTAGACTAGTTCAATCATGCCTGAGATATTGTAGTGAGACATTGTGTGTCATTCTGATATAGGAAGTGCATTACGTGGAGTATAAGTTTTTTGTTTGAAGTGTTGAGTTGTGTGAGCTCTCAATAACTGAGTTCTTGTTTCAAGGTTAGCAGTGTTTAGTTTTTATTTATATATGAAATGAAACCTTTCTTTATGTCTGCCCTTACTAGTTCATATCATTGCTTAAACAGGCTCGATTCATTTTGTTATATATGTGGCAATTTTACTACTCCTGTTCAAAGGATAAACATCAGTATATTTGTCAGGAAAGCCTATTTTAAAGTGAAAATTGGTTATCAAGATGGGCTTCTCACAAAGTGTGCAAGCATTGTGTTGAGAGTTTACAAATGTGTATGAAGGGAACACATTCTAAATTTCTGTTTGTCATACCTATGTTTCGGAGAGAGCCCAAACATCATTCAAGTGATTGTTACTTTTGTATGGCGAAAACGTTAGAATAGAATATAACAAGAAAAACAAATATAAAGAGTATATATAGAGTATCCTAGTTTACCATCAGTTATATACACAGTGCCTTACTCATCTGAACTCCCAGTGCCAGTTTTCAAAGAATTACCCTCTTTGGAAATACAAGAATATCTCATGAATGTCAAATAACCCCCCCCTGCCCCAATGATGAAGATTTTTAAAACTGAAAATGATTCCATTCCTAATGGATTTGGTCAACATGAGCTGAATGATTTGGCAAGAGAATTGGGACTATCCCAAAAATGCTTCAGAGCTGTTAGTATCAAGAGTGCACGAGAAAAACTTCCTTGAAAAAGGATCTAAGGTATCCTGCTTTTGATCAAGAGAAAGTGCATTGCTGGAATACTTTGAAATTTCCTTTGTATGAATAAAACTATGCTTTATGAACCATATATTTGCTTTCCCTTTATTTTCCTTTATATGCATATTTTGTAAAAGTTTTGAGACAAAGAGAGGGTATCCTGTAGCTTAAAATGTTTAACTGATAGACAAAAACTGAGGTTACTTTTAGATTCAGAAGCCAAACGTTAGTCAAAAACAAGTGACAGGTCTAAAAAAATGAAACTTCTGTTCCCCAGTGTAATTATTCTTGTATATAATATAAATATTAGCCAGTTATGACAGAATAAAAAAGTTTATGGACAAACAGCCTTAAGCCAAAAATTAATTATTTCAGTTTAATTGGTAAATCAATCTATAGAAAACACAGTTCTGTGTTGAATTCTACACTGGTTATCATAAATTAAGGAAAAATCACAAAAATAGCGATAACTCTTTCAAAAATAAGCCAAACCATGTAAAATTTGAATATGTTGCCAAGTAAGAGTAGCTAAGTAAAACTCCAATATGCAAATTAGTGCCACAGCACTCGGAATACGTCATCTGCGAGGAGCATAAAAGTCCATGTTTGAGAGCAATCCCACATATTTCACTGTGATAGTGACATCATAAATCTGAGATAGCCAATTCATACAACAATCTCCAGGCATCATTTGCCTGCAGAGCTACGATAGAAAGCCATTGGGAGACTAAGGCAGGGCAAAGTCAAACAGAAGTGGCCAGATGGCTAAATGTGAGTCCTTCTGTGGTTCACAGACTTTGGAGGCAATTTCAAATCACAGATCTGGCACCTAGGAGGTTCAGCCAAGGACGACCAACTGCTACGACGAACGCCGATGACTGATATTTGACATTATGTGCACTCAGGAATAGAACAGCTACTCCGACTCTTCTTAGATCCTCCCTTGCTGCAGCCACCGGAAGGTCGGTGTCATTGTCAACTATGCGTAGAAGGCTTCACAAAGGTGCTCTGTACGCGAGGCGAACAACCATTTGCGTGCCGCTCAAGTCATGCCATAGGAGGGACAGTTTGCAGTGGGCACGACAATATGTCCACTGGACGCCTGAGCAATGAAGGGCTGTTCTCTTTACAGATAATTCCAGGTTTAGTCTAGAATGCGATAGTAGGCATTATTTGATATGGAGAGAACCTGGAACCTGTTATCATCCGTCAAAAACCCGTAAAAGAGATGCATACGGAAGAGACAGCGTGTGTGTTTGGAGAGGCATCTGTCTGGGTGGACGCACAGTCCTCCATGTTTTTCTAAGGGGAACCGTGAATGCTCATGTTTATAGAGATGACATCCTTGATGCTTATGTGCGCCCATATGCCGGGGCAATATGTGATGCTTTCCTGTTACAGGACGACAATGCAAGACCACACAGCACTCGCATCATATACAGTTATCTTCAACAGGAAACAATTATGCGCATGGAGTGGCCAGCTCGATCTCCGGACTTGAATCCTATTGAGCACGTTTGGGATGCTTTAGGAAGACGTCTAGCTGCTCTCAATCCACCTCCTTAGACACTTGCCACGCTTGCAACTGCTTTGCAAGAGCAATGGCTCTCGCTTCCTATGGAACTGATAGACCGCACAATTGAAAGCATCACACATCGCTGAATGTGCTGTATTGTTTCTAGAGGCGATTATATTCCATATTGAAGGTACTTTTACTATAGCAAACTGACATCTTAGATTTGTTCTTTTTATACATGTGCTAATTTCTAAACTACCATAATTGTCTGGTAATTTCTTTTTATGTTATTTGATACCTTACTGTGTGTTGTATATTGTGGGTAAGTTTCATAAAAATCTACATGAACTTTTTCAGTAATCGTGATTTTGGTGATTTTTCCTTAATTTATGATAACCAGTGTACTTACTAGATAACTTTATTCAAATAAAATTTTGAATATAGCAATTTCATGGTCAGACCTTTTTTAACCATTGTTGGGTAACAATGATCTAAGAACTGATGCCTTCATCCAGCCATTTTTTAAACAAAATATTCATACTGATATTATGCATTTAAAAAGCATGAAATAGCACTCATGAAGCCAACTTGTTCCACCAACATAAATTAAACATTAGGTGGGAAATACCAGCAATCTGTAGCTTTAGTCAATTGGACAATGGTTTAAAAAAATTTGAAGTGTACACCGCATGACTTCCTTGTATGAAGTATTAAATTATACACATTTTTTTCTGGCTTTCATTTAAACTTATTGGATTGAATTAAATCTGCTTCTTCGATAGCGCATAAACCACAATAGAATAAATGCACTCTTTAAAATTCACTGTATTTGTTTACCAGAGCGACACTCTGGTGCTAGGTTCACTTAACAGCGTTATATTTCGTTCCTATTATAACTCAGAATGCACAAAATTTATATCATTTGAAGAATTATCTAATTGTTACCACCTGTTCTATTCAAATACTATAATAATCTAGAAACTGAGCTCACTGAGCCAAGTAGCAGAGTAGATAGATTGTATATATATTTATATACTTTTGGTGTGGCCGATTGCAACCAAAATACGAGGTGCACATCTACATGTTATAGCAGTCCTACGTACAAAATTTCAACGTTCTGAGGCTACTCATTCTTCAGTTATGCGAGATACGTATGTATGTACATACGCACAGACGTTATGAAAAATTTTACTCAGAATTAATTTTAAATCATTTTTATATTTTTTTTGGGGGGGGGAAGAGTCCTTTTATTCTGTCCTTACTTGTGTATGTCATGCAAAAAACAGCATTAAATTGCAATGCATAGCGGTCAAAACCAATATTTTCATTGAAATATGATACCCGAAATTTTACACGATTACAATACTTCCTTTTTACTTTGTACAAGGAAGGAAAAAAAGGGGAGGTATAAAACGAGCATCACAAATTTTTCAAATAAATGAAGAACAGCATACTAAGCTACATTAAGAAAAGCCCAATTAAGAGGATGAGATCATGTGTTATTAGTATACTAAGAGATAATCAGTAACTAATGTACCAGTGCTAAGATGGTGAAAATAAGGTAAAATCTGTTTTTGCATTTTGGCACTTAACACATAAAAAAAAAAATCTGATGTTAACACAACACGACTTCCTCGTACGGAATATTAAATTCTATGCATTTTTTCTTGCATTTCATTTAAACTTATTGGATTGAATTACATCTACTTCGTCGATAGTGCATAAACCACAATAGAATAAATACACTAAAATTCACTATATTTGTTTACCATAGCGACACTCTGGTGCTAGGTTCATTAACAGCATTATATTTCGATCATATTATAACTCAGAGTGCACAAAATTTTGTATCGTTTGAAGAATTATCTAATCGTTGCCACATGTTCTTTCTAATACTATAATAAATCTAGAACAATGTATAAAAGAAATTAAGCAAACAAAACAAAAAAGAAACAGCTTTTCACAGATGATTCAGTATTTGTCGTTCAATTAAGTTTTCACTTCGCAACAAGGCAAAAACAACATAAAAACTCAAAATATCTATATTAAAAACTACAAAGAAAATTTTTAACACTTTTTTTCTAAAAAAAATTGGAAAAAGGATTAAGTATGATTTAATTTGCAATAATAAATGAAGGCATTATCTTTGTTGTTGAGAAGCTTAGTCTCTGTAGATTGGCAACAAATCTATTATTCTGCGGTTTCAAATGTAAACAAACATTTCCGTCATGTTATTTAAAAATTAGGCTTAACCGAATTTAAACAGCTTTTAAATTGTTGCTAATTCTTTAAATATTGCTTGCAGATTTCCTAAAGGCATAAAAACCTTAACCGGAAGATAAGAACAACATAATTCAATCATTTTTAAAGCAAAAAGTGCACAAACATATAAGAGTAAAGAAACCGAGATCACTGAGTCAGGTAACACAAGTGAATATATATATAAATATATTTATATATGTTTGGTGCGGCTAATTGCAACCAAAATACGAGGTGCACATCTACATGTTTTAGCAGTCCTATATACAAAATTTCGAGGCTACTCATTTTTGAGTTATACGAGATACATACATTACAGACATCATGAAAAATTCTCTTCAGAATCCATTTTAAAGCAGTTTTATAATTTTTTTTGAGGAAACGAGGCTTTTATTCTGATCTTACATACAGTTGTAATGCAAAAACATCATTAAATAGCATTTGATAGCAGTCAAAATGGATATTTTCGTTGAAATATGCTGCCTGAAATGTTTCGTGATTACAATACTTCCTTTGTACAAGGAAGTAAAAATGAGAATGTATAATGATCCCCCCCCAAATCAAGCATGCTGTAAATGCTTTCAAAACTGAGTTATATTTGGGGGGGGGAACTTTAAAGTAGTTTTGTAATACCACCAATTGCTACCATAGATACTCAGTGAGCAAACAGATATATTCGACTTTAAAGCTGACTCCTGAATAACTTAATAGAGAATAATAGAGTTAGTAATATACAGTTCCATACTTATTTTACTTACTTATATGAAATACTTTTTAATAATTTGGTACACTGTAATACCCTTAAAACCAATAACTGCATATTTGAAAACTTTCATCGGAGAAAAATCGATGATCTAAACAGGATGTTCTTAACAAGATTAGTATAGACACCTGGAGGTTCATAGTTGAAAATGTATCGACAACTGATCAGTATAATCAAGATCTCATTGATTAAAATAAATTATTTATAAAATTGATAGCTTATTATTTACTGATATAAAGCTAAATCATGTAGTACAGAAGAGATCATAAAAAATAAATACAAGGGCAAAATACACAAAAATTATTTAATATATTAGCGGGCAAATAATTTTTTGTTGCAAACACAGAAAACAAAAACCCTTGACACTTCAAGTATGCATTTGATGTCATATGTAATATAACAACTTTTACTCAATATTAATAAAAGAATTAACATGGCAGTAACATATCACAGTTATCCTAACCTGAAGCAAGAAAGTTGCCAAAAGCAGATATTTATTTAAAATGCTGAAATTAACGAAAACTTTACGGCATACAATGATGTCATGCAATCACATGCTTTCTTCAACATCAGAATATGATCTTATATAATAATATGTTTAATGTTTGGCAATGCCATTTTTGTTTCATATTTTGTAAAACTTACAAAATTTTGATTAATAAACTCTGTTGTTGTTGCTTATGCTCAACTTGTCTGATGTAGTCAGCTCAAGCCCACGAATTCTCATGGCAAGGAGTGTGCCTGTTATTGGCAACAGCCTTGAGCACCTAACAGGTGACAGTGCAATTTGGCTCAGTTCTGTCTCCAATTTTGATGGAGAGCACCCCGAGGGGACAGGTCTGAGGATCTTCCCCCTTTCCACCAAACCACACGAGAGGACTTTTGGCTCACCGCATATTTAGAGTGCTGCCATGCCGCACTGACACTATACATTTACAAACATCCATGCCTTCTCCAGGATTCGAACCTGGGCCCTTTGGCATGGCAGTCTGTGACGCTAACCACTATACCGGTTGGGCAGCAATTAACAAACTCTATGATTTGATAGCAAGCAGCAGCAACACTGTTAAAATATAGCATAATAATGCCTGAAATAAAATACTTTTATCTCTAGTGTGCAAATCTGTTGCCACTTGGAAAAAAAGAATGGGAAAATTTTCATTCAAAGTTTTTAATTAACACCTCAGCTGATTAAAGCCATATGAGAATGGCTTTCCGCATATTTTTGGACTCCAAGGGTACTTCTCTCGAAACTCAACTCCCTGTAGTTCCGGAGGAGATGATGTTATAAACAGGCAGACGTGCACAGATTTTAATAATATAGATTTTAAAAATCAATTATATTTTTTAAACATATAAATTTGTTACACATTAAGTGCAGTATACTATAGTAAAATACAGGAACACAAGAAAACATAATTAAAGAATTTAAAGAAAGCAAAACTAATGAACTATAGTTAAATTTGCACATGTTCTTTCAACCATGTCAGCCATTAAAACTCGTTAACAGAAGTTATGCTCAAATGGAAATACATCATCAATAAGTATGTGTACCAATATTGTCCCCTTTAAATTTGACAACCATTCTTTTGAAAAGAATCAATGCAAGAAAAGATGGGGAAATCCCTGATCTAAAACATACATAACAACAATAAAAAGGGGAGAGAAGAAGACAGAAAAGAAAGATAGTATTTTATGATCACTTGGAATAGTTAAATTATCATTTAAAGTTTCATAAAATAAGAAAAAAAGTCAAAAGGCAAAATATTTCATACGCCATAAAAATTTACACAAATGCTCCAAAATAATTAAAAATACATACCCCTATACATGCCAAAAAAACCTTCTCTTGCATATGTTTTGCGAAAACAATCTAACCTGAAAGGGGGGAAAATAAGCAAAATAGTAAACAAGCAATATATTAATATAATTCTAAGGATTGGGGGATGGGAAACTACTTACATGGAAAAGTACATTTTTTCTCCTTTTGGTCCAACTTGTTGGTTCTGCAGCCTCGTTTTCACTAGATCGATTGGAAATACACATGTTACACCAATAATTCCAGCAATACCACCATTGATGATTTTGGGTAAAAGTCTACAAAATTTAAAATTAAATAATAAATTAGAAACTTAACACACATACATAAAAACAACATAAACTTTAAGATAATATTCTTATTCCAAAATTAATGCAAATATAAATATTTACTTAGAATGCTTTCAATGCCAATTTGCCAGAACTTACTGTTTCTCATTAAAAGCTACTAAAAAAATCCTGCATAATGCTTGTTGCAATCACGGTCTGATTGAGTTGATCTAAGGGACACAGACAACTTGAAAAAAAGGTCCTGGCATCTTTTTTTTTTTTTTTTTTTTTTTTTTTTATTTCAAAATTTTGCGTCATTCATCAAGATACAAAAGTGGCACAAATATGCCATCACCTTTTCCCTATCAACAGTTTCTCACAGATACAAGGGTGCCCTGACATAAAGGCACAAATATGACGGCACCCCTGTGAAGTTCGATTAGAGAAAACGATCTACATCAAGGTTGTCCGAACAATCCTTGTGAAGAGTTGGTTATTTGCATAAAGTTGCCAGATAAATTTATAACATTATATGAAATTAACAGGAGGACCGGAACGTAATGCCTCTTTCTTACATTAAATTCAAACGAATACATTTTTAAAAGTTTTTATTTTTAATTAATAATATAATCACCCTCGCTATCAGCAACCTTTTGCGATCTAATGTGCAGATTTTCAATCCCGGACCGATAAAAATCAATTGGTTTTTGAGTAAAATATCTCGAGAGAACATTTTGGACATCATCCAAATTTTCAAATTTTTTGCCAGTAAGAAAATGTAGGGATACGAATAAATGGAAATCCAATGCTGCGATATCGGCCGAGTATGGTGGGTGAGTATGTCAGTACCTCCCACCCCAATTCATTAATTTTTTCGTCTTGCATTGTCGTGTTGCAGAATGACGCCTTTTCTGTTGACAATTGATATTTTTCGATTAAAAATTGATTCACTCCATCCAATTGTTCACAATAAAGGTCTGCATTAACAGTTTGTCCAGGTTTCAGCAATTCAAAATGAACAATTCCAGGAATACTCCATCAAACACGCAGAAACACGGGATGTAAACCCTTTATAACCCCTATTAAAACTGCCTTTTGCGTTTTGGATTATCATATAGGACTTATTTTTTGTCTCCACTAATCAAATGATAAAAAAAAAACGCTTCTGTATGGTGCCGTTGAAGCATGCACACGATGGATAGGTTGGCTTTGTTCTTTTCGGACAGATTACGGGGGACTCAAACACCTGCTTTAAATTTTCTTGCATGGCCGACCAAGGTTGGTTAACCACTTGCGCTACGACTAAACTTCCCAGTTGCGGTGCCGTTTTCTACAATATAACAAGTGGTAAAGTGTCTCATTTACGCCGCTCCGCGTCTGCGAGTGCAATCCAGAGCTGTAACTCGAGAAATAAACAATCTCGTTGGTCGGTGACGTGTGTACCACGTTATTTTCATTTTTGCTATAAATTCCTATCGACGTGGTGTTCACGTCGCTCGCGGTTTGAGACAAAAGCATCTTGACATGCGTGGCACGTCTTTTTAGCGCAAGTGGTTAAGAGTGTTGACATGGATTTGCTTCCACTTTAGCATGTTGTTGTCGACATGCACAGAAACGACATTACTTTCCGGTCCCCCTATTATCTTGTTGGTGGGACGTTGCTCTCATGCAATACGTACAAATGTAGCGCAAAAACATTGTTCAAATGGAATCGAGAAGGGTCAAAATGGATATTTTCGTTGAAATAACGATACCTGAAATTTTTCGCAATTACAATATTTCCTTTACTTCGTACAGGGAAGTAAAAACACGTTTCCGGGGAAACACTTGACGGACAGACCGAAAATCCGAATTCAATTTTAACCATCAGATGAAACTAAAACAACTTACAAAATAATGGTTTTTCAAACTTTGGCTTACAAAATAATGTCTTTATGGACTTTTGAAATGAAACCGAAAAATTCCCAACTAAGAATGCAATATCAAAATTACACAACTAATTTCCCATCGCAGTAAGGAAAAGTATTTTCTCTGACTTCAATCCACAAATTTGCTAAAGCACTTGATGATACTTTCAGATAAACGAATCGCAATGGATGCTTTTGCGCAAACCATGCAAGTTCTATTCTTAGAGAAGGGATCTGTAATACACGCTTCATGGCGAAACTCCTAACAGTCATATCACATTTAGGAAGAACAAATGTTAGAAAAATTCTTCAGCTTTGTAACATGATATAAAAAGAATAATCACAGCGGACCACTGGGTTACCACATAAAGGGAAAACTGATACTTCGCACACATACAGAAGCCATCAACACAGAATTCTCATTCAAGTTCTTGGATTCAATGCTGATAGCTGACTATTGAAACAAAACACAACTGTAACTTTTAGCAAGAGTGAGGGGAAAATCGTGTACCGTTCTTTCGAAACAGTTGTTCGTCCGAAACAGATGGATGTATGATAGCAGTCTTACGTTATTAATAAGCTCCTTATACCACTGAAAAAAATTAAAGGTTTTAAGGGAACGGTAAATTCAGAAGATGTGAATGTGCTCGCCTAACAGAAGTAACGTTCAATACCAAAATTTATTTATATTCAACAATAAAATATTCACCTACCAACCAGGATAGTGTTTAGAGACGCTGACTGCCGTACGTAAAGCCTTGCGTTCGAATCCCGGAGAAGGCATGGATGCTTGTAAATAGGGCATGGGAGCACTCTTAAACATGCCGCGAGCCGGAAGTCTTGTCGAGAAGTTGGTGATAGGGGAAGAGAGTGGGAGACCCTCAGACATGTCTTCCCCCTGGAACCCTCTTATTCAAAACTGGGGGCGTCAATAAGCAAAAAGTCGTACTGTCACCTGCATGGTGCTCAAGGCTCTTGCCAACAAAGGGTGCAATCTTGACCCTTGCCCTGATGAATTTCGTGAACTTGGTCTGATATCAGAGACCTGATTTGATGTTACTGTCGATCGGGTGGGATAAGCCATCAAAAACAACATAAAATCACAAAGACAACATAAAATATTCCCTGAAATTTGCTTAAATTTTATTCCGGACAACACAAAATATTCCCTGAAATTTGCTTAAATTTTATTCCAAACATCCGAAACACAACATAAAATATTCCCTGAAATTTGCTTAAATTTTATTCCGGATACGGATGACAGCATATCCAAAAAGTACTCAACCCACCAATTATATATTAGAAACTTTACTTACGAAATTCTTGGTGTAAAGTAGGTAAATTGTCTTTTAAAGTAGTGATGCCGTACTAAAACTAAGCATTTATATAATACTGAAAATAAATAACTTATGCAACTTTATCAGTTTATTCGTGGACGTTTCCTTCGAGGTGCTTAATAAATTTTTGCAGTAATTTCGTAAAATTTCGCAATTTGTCCATTTTACAATTCTTTCACAATTCTCAATTCGTATTTCATTAAAAGCTTTGATGCGATTTGTTTGAAAATTGTAAAAACTCATTAATTCGAATGAAAGTTATAAATTCATTCGGAGTTCTTAGGTATCAGTTTTTTCCCTCTTTTTCATACGCACTGCATTTTTCCCTCCCTTCCGGGGAAGCTATTAACTATGCAAAAATAGAATTTGGTGCACTTTTACTGCACTTCGGTTTAGAAAGTCGGCATTTCCAGCTCCTCAATTTGAAAACAGGATGACTGAAAGTGACTTACACCCAGACGCCCGTATCTACTGCGCACAATAAACGCTCCTTATGACATAACGGGGTACGTCTACTACCTGCGTATGACAAGCTTAATGATGTGGAAGGTCGAGAATAGCAAACGCCTCCTCGTCAAACTACGCATTATTTTCATGTTCGGCAAGCTAGTCTCGCACATACTGACAAGTGAGTTAATATTTGAAGAGTAGTCTATGCAACTTAACTGTCGCAAAGTGTGATTGGGGGATGAAATGCAGTTAATTTTTAATAAAATCTTATTTCTACATATAACACTATGAACTTTAAATCAGAGGTTCCCAGCAGGGATGATATTGACCCCCTGGCGGTCGATGAAATTTTAAAGGTGCTCAGTTATGATCAAGGGTTCGATATGCACTGGCAATCGATCGGGAAAATTAAGACTATCATTGATTACAAAAAAATTAATAAAACTAATAACTAATTGTTTATTGATATAAAGCTATATCGCGTAATAAGGATGTAATCATAAAAAATAAATACTAGTGAAGTAATGTGTGTTTCCAAGATACTGAAAATTCAAATGTGTCAGCATGGTTTATGAAACCTCTGAACTGCGATATATCTTATCTTGATATTACGATACAATAAGTTTTGGTCTGGTTTACTTGATTATGGCAAAACGCGCTAGGCTATTTGCCTGAGGGGTGGAATGCCTTCGTGGAGGACTTTCGTAGGGAACTGCCTCGTATCCACGTTACACTCAGGGAAAAACGAGAAACGGCCCTGCAGTCGGCCCGTTCGCCTTGAATTGAGCCAAGGTTGAACTACCAGAGTTCAGTAACTTTACAGCTCGGCCGCTCGTGGGCGTACGATACCAAAAGATCTAATTGCATTAAAAGAGGTGAAACACAAGTTTATTTAAAACACAACAGCACGCTACGTTTTAAAATTTAAATGTCATTTGAAAGAAATATCTCCAAATAAAATCATAGCCGAACCAGAAATATCGACATTCCTCTCTTCTTAGCTAGCAGAAACAGGCATTAGCCAAGTCAATAATTTACTTCGGAAAACAAGAAACCAGGCTGCATATTTTTGAACGACGCGATTGAAGAAAGTAAGTTGAGCAGTTTTATGCCACATATAAACAAATTCCACTGTGATGTCGCTTCAGAAAAAATATTTTAAAACTAAAAATAATAATAAAAGATAAATCTAATAAACTTCTTTTTTTCAAAACTTTTATTACAACTTACTTAGTTTACACTATTTCTTATATTTTCAATTTATAATCTCAGTATTTAACGTCAGAAATTTTATTGTTTTTATTTTACAGAGAAT